TTCACAATTCAGTGTCTAAGTTGACTTAGGTGCCTAAGCGTGATTCTCCTTCACCTTCTACAAGTCCTGAAAATCCACTAATTAATCTACTTTTGTAACACATGACCCTTAAGATTCAGTCAGGGAAAAGCAGTGAGGTGCAAGAGGACTGATTAGTAGTTTTCAAGGACTTGAGTGGAGTGGAGTAAGATCAGACTCAGGCAGCTCTTCTACTTAGATGCTTAATAAGTGGACTAGAATTGGGCCCAAATAAGGAAAGGGTCCTGTGAAAAAAGTAGTGTGGAATTAAGGATTGTATCATATGCAAATACAAAAAGGAGGGGGTGAATGTAGCCTACACAGAAAGCCTTAACTTTGGCATTTCTAATTTTTGAGTGCTTGTATTGCAATATTGGCAATAGTCTTATGCATTTTTGAGAACAGTATAGGCAAATATATATAAGCATGAAAGATAGTTACAGTCGTTTAAAATATCTGCCTGAGAAGGGGGGCCATCAGCAATGTAGACAGGTATGAACTTTTTTCATCTGCCTGTGTGAATGTGCATGTGTGTGCACATGTGTGTATACATACATATATGCATAGAATTATAAAAAATAAGGGCTGGAGGGGACCTTGAAAGATCATCAAATCCACCCCTCCTGCTTTGGGCAGGAATACTCCTGGGATCATTTGAGGATCCCAAAGTGCCTGTCCAGTCTCCTCTTGAAGACTTCCAAGGTTGGGACAGCAGCACCTCCTTGGGAACTCTATTCCAGATTCTGGTCACCCTTACCATAACGAAGTTCTTCCTTACGTCCGACCTGAAACCATCCTCTAACAGTTTAGGCCATTACTCCTTGTCCTCTCCTGGGGCACCCTAGCAAAGTTTTTCTCCCAGCTCCCAATATTCACACCTTACATACATATAGACAGCCATCAAGTTTTCTCTTCCCCAGGCTGAACAGTCCCAGATTCCTTAGTCTTTCCTCATAAGGTTTGCCTTCCCAGCCCTTAATCATTCTTGTGGCCCTTCTTAGGACCCTTTCAAGATCCTCCACATCTTTTTTGAAGTGTGGCGCCCAGAACTGGACACAGTACTCCAGCTCAGTTCTCACCAGCACCAAGTACAGAGGAAGTATCACTTCCTTAGACCTGCTTGCGATGCATCGGCTAATGCATCCCAGTATGTATGCTTTTAGCTCTGTTGACGATACTGCCATACTGGCAGCTCATGTTTACCCTGATCAACCATAATTCCGAGGTCCCTTTCAGTCATTGTGCTAGCTAGGACATCTTCTCCTAACTTATATTCATGTTGCTGGTTACTTCTCCCAGATGATGCACTCTGCATTTATCCTTACTGAACTGCATCCAGTTCTACTCCACCCATCTTTCCAGCTTGTCCAGGTCCACCTTGATCCATATCCTATCCCTGAGCATGACCACTTTTCCCCATAACTTAGTATCATCCAAAAACTTGGCCAGTGTGCTTTCCACATTCTCATCTAAATCATTGATAAAGATGTCGAACAGCACAAGGTCAAGAACCAAACCCTGCGGGACACCACTGCCCACCTCCCACCAAGATGATGCAGACCCGTCCACTAACACTCTCTGGGTTCGACCCCTTAGCCAGTTCCCAGCCCACCTGTCTATCCCCCAGTTTCTGCCAGCTCACCATCCCCATTTTTAAAATAAAAACACTAGCCAATTGCCCATCAAGAATGACAGCAGGGGAGGAGCAAGCAGGGATGGAGCCCCGTGACTCCCCCCCCCATCTGGGCCCACTCCCTTCTTCCCTCCTGCTGCCTGGGGTCCAGGCCGCTCCTCCCTTCCCTGCTGCAGCAAATTATACTATATTTTGTAAATAATAGAGGTAATAAATGCTTAACCATGATAGGGAATGACTTAGTTTTAGTTCAGTGATCCATAGATTTCATAGATTTTTAGGGTTGGAAGGGACCTTGGAAGATCATTAAGTCTGGCCCCCTGCCCTTGGGCAGGAAAGACTGCTGGGGTCAGATGACCCCAGCCAGGTGGTTGTCCAGTCTCCTCTTAAAAACCTCCAAGGTAGGGGAGAGCACCACCTCCCTTGGAAGCCCATTCCAGATTCTGGATCCATTCATTTGTATGCATCAGAAAGGAGGTCTCGTCTTGAATTACCCCAAGTTAGGTTTAATTTGTCTTAAAACAATATAGGTAATTAAACTGCAAGAAAGCTTTACTAGTCACAGCGAGAGACTTGCAATATATGTCCTTCAGACAAAAATCCCCTAGGATCACACACATCCCCTTTTAACACGCAGACACTTAATTAGCTTCACATATTGCTCTGTATTCTAATTTGGTGGCCTAAAGCAGACCTCTATTAGTACCTATTTATGCTGTTGGTAAGAATTTAATTTCATAAGGAAGACAACCTCTGCATGTGTGAGTTGTCAGTAACTTTAAGTAAAGGTATATTTGAGGGAATGTTGCTCCTCTTCTACTGGTGCCTGTTCTCTCTCCTCCTAATGTGGTGATGCAGTGAACTTTACTATTCCAGTTATGTGAATCCTTTCATATATCAATGATATCTATTATGCTACAAGTCTACTCGTACATGATAATTTCCAATGTCTCTCACTTATTACTTGACTTCTGGCACTGTTAGCAGACAATTAAGGGATGTATAGAGAAGGAATCCTTTGACACCATCATTCATTACATTCCTGGCACCTAAAGCACGAGTTACCTGTCAGAACACTTGTGCTGCATTTACCCTCCACTGTCTCTTTTGTTGTAGGATTAATGTGCTCCTACCCTGTCCAGGCAGAAGATTGCTTCTCCTATTACTAAGATAAACCACCCAGACAAAATGTATATCCACATCATGGCAACAGTGTGCCCTGGCGCACATGTATCTGTGCTTGACCTGCCTATTTGTGCCAAATAGGGTTGTGCGAAGCTTTGGTCACCGATTCGATTTGGAGGAGATTCAGCCTGGTTCGGTGTCTGAATCTCCTAATCTGAATCGAATCAGGAGATCTATTAATCTCTCTGAATTGAATCTGAAGCTTCAAATTGGATTCAATTCAGAGAGATTAGACAACTCAGCCATTGATACAGCTTTATGTTTTTTTGATGTACCTCGAGGTCAAGGTGCGTAGAAAAAACATATAAAGCTGTGTCTATGGCCAAATCACTGATTCTCCAAATCAGCATTGAATCTTCAAATTCAGATTCGGCTAAATTGAATCAGGTCAGTGATCTGAATAAGCAAATGGAATCGCGTCCCCCGAATCTGGCTGAATCCTAACTGAATAATGCTCGCTTTGCACACCTTTAGTACCAAATCCAGAAACATGTCACTGATGCTGCTCTTCAGACCTCAGTCTCTGACAGGCTCAAGAATGCCTATTGGGGAAACCTGGGAGCAGCCTCTTTACCATGTTTCTGGGTTTGGAGCAGGTGGGCCATACATGCTCAAGAGCCTGTGCGCCAGGTCACACTGCCACTGTGGTACAGACACTGATCACGCAGACTCCACACAACTACAGTACTCCAGAACCCAGATGCTATTATGCACACCATGCCCATCTGTATCTCCTTGTGTGTTCCAAACTCAGCAACATCAGAGGCACTGCCCCAAGGTCTTCCCCAACAGTCAGTCACTCTCAAGCAGACTGAAGAACAAATTATAGGGAGGGACTAGAGCAATGTGTGCCAGAGCTTCATTACTGATGCATTTCTGGGCTTGGTGGGGTGGCTGGGCTGACTTCAGGGCAGCTGTGCTGGGACATGCTAGTGCCGCAGTATAAGCACACCCTGAAGAATCGTTCTTCACCAGAGAACAGCCTAATGCTATGTCAAACCAATTCTTGTATTATGCCATTTTTCTAGCCATTGATTCATTTCCTGCATCTTGTGCTTTCTGCCTTCTCTTGGGTTAGGATGGATCCTATCCTTGCAAAGACCACCTGTTCTTTCTCCTTCAGTTCCCTTTTGAGATCTTTGAAGCTTTTGAACTATGAAACATCATCTAAATCAGTGGCATAGCTGAGAGGGAGGAAGGGTGACTGGGGCAGTAGCCCCAGGTGTTGCTTTTCTGGAAGGTGGAGGCACAAAAATAAGCCTGGTCAGTGTTATCTGATCCTGTCACTGCAATTAGCATGGCAACAGCTGGTGCTGCCCCTGGCACAGAGCTGCCCAGCTATGCCTGATCTAAAACACCACATCAGTTGAACCAATTTGTTTCATAACTAGCCTAAGGTAACACATTTTGTAGAAATGTTAGCTATTTCTAAGCATGTGCATATGATTGCAGTCCTAATTTCTATACTCTCTAAACATTTTAGTAATGTGTCTTTATTTCTTCACTTCATTCTAAATGGCATGCTACAATTGCGTATGTAGCTCCAGTTTATGTAACTTCAGCTTTTCCCACATGAGAATTTGCTGTGTGAGAAAGAACAACTTTTTAATGATAGGCCTACATTTCACTGCTTTTCTTAATACATGATGCAAACACATTGGACAACAGGTAAATGTTTATGCGCAGCTCTATGGTAAACTCCGCATTCCCTCATCTTATCTGCATACCACTTCTTGCTATTGAAATCCACTCAGATGTCAATGGGATCCATGTATGTGAACTGTAATATCTGGCCTTTTATTAAAATGGCTGATGTAATTCAATTTAAAGTAAGTTAGGGGGAAAGCATGAATAAACAAAAAAACCCTTTGCTGTGTGGCTTTAGTTTTAACAGCTCTCTTGTGCTGACACTGGCTTTGATTTGTGGCTCCATCAAAATGGCTATTTTTAGTGCTGAACACAGTTGCCACTGTGAGATGAACAAAATCACTACGGAGTTGAGGAAAACTAACTAAAAAGAGTAAATTACTAACAGTTCCATTTCTCCATGTGCTGAAAAGATTGAAAGATCAGAGCTGAGAAGATAAAGGGCATTTTTTTAAAGATCCATTAACGCATACAATAGAGAACATGTATAAAGAGCTACTACGCTATAAATTCACAAAATATTTTATTAGATCTAACACCAGTTTCATCTACCCAACCCAACCCATGGAGGCAGAATTGTAAAGGTGCTTACAAAAACATTCAAATATACATGATTTTGTAATGATCTTGGAAGAACCTACAAGCATATGCCCTCTGGGTATACTTCCCCAAATCATATAAATAAATATGCAAAGATGACATGAGTTTAACAGGACTCAAAAAAGGATTGTGCATTTCATATGGATAACAAGGACATCCATAATCATAACAGTAAAGATAAGGAAATTAAATCAAGAGTTTTGGGAAAAAGATATAAACCTTCATTGCTTCAGCACATTAGCACACCTTTAACTGCCAGATATCACAGAAAGACACTTTTCTTATAGCTGACATATTACAGAGCACTATCAAAGAAAAAATACAGGGCTAGACAGACTAAATTGTCTGGGGGCAATGCATATACTCCTTAAAAGACAGAATCTTATATGGATGCTGATTAAAACCCAAGTTTTCAGTAGGAATGTATATATTGACCTGAGCAGAAAAGGAATTCTTAGAAAAAAAACTCATTATAAGCATAAAGACAAATTTTCAGATTAGAATTACGTTGAAATTTTTCATTTTAGTTACAAAAAATTGTTTTAAACAGTCGTTGTCAATGAAAATGAGGGGTATGAATTTTTAATCTAGTTTCATAAAAACTTAAGTTCAACCTTCATCGGCAAAGTAATTACTACCAAGTCTGATCTTGCAAGCTCTGTGCACACATATCTTCCTTTTAAAGTTAACAGCTTTGTAGGCAAGAACATCTGCAGGAACACAGCCTGTATCAGTTTCTTACAAAGACATTTCTAAATATCATTACCTTATTTCTAAATGATGAAAGATGGGTAAACAGTTACTACAAAGCTGTCCTAATGAAGCCCTACTGGGAACTCAAGTACTGTGAACATTTAAAATGCTAACAACAGTCAATGCACATTAATGTCAATGTCAAACACATGAATCTTATATGCAACTAGATTGTTATCTGTGCACAAATATTAGGTTCTGATCTGCCTTCAGATATGTATGCGCAGCCCCACGTCGAACTGCCATGTGAACTCTGCTGCAGTCAGTCACCTCAGGGCATAATCTAGCCTAAATTTTAGTTTTTGGAATTTAAACATGGAGAAGAATTCTCAGCTAATAGCTGTTAAATGGCACAACTATAAAAATGTTTTAGTAGAAAAATAAACACTTTAAAGTTATTGGAAGATCACATTAGCATGATTATCTTAATTTCTTTATTTGCTCACAGTAGATTAAAAAAATATATTTTCAATTATGAAAAAGAACATAAGTCATTTTAGAAACACTCGTACAGCTGTCCAATAAGAGAATGGGGGGGGCCCCCGCGGGAAGTAGATTGCTGCAGTACAGTACATGCACTGTGCCTAGTGTTCAATGCCTTTAAGCACTTCAGAAAACAGTTTAAAACTTGTAAACAAGTTACATCTTTCTTCATACAAAAATAGCAGTTATGTAATTTTTTTCAAAGTTTGCCTAAATGTCAACTCAGTTAACATTTTCCTATTCAGCCAGACAGTGTAGATGACTATGAAGATGACATCCTACTCTGGATCAACTTCTTTCTTTAAAGAACCATTTCTGGTGTTCTGAATTGGCACATGGTCGTAACAATGGTGCTGGACTGCCATTGTAAGAGTCAGGCTCAGCTTGTACACACTGTTGGGTATGTACGTGAAACAGAGAACCATCCTGCAAAAAAACCAGAAAATTATGTACAGCAGTCTTAAAATGGCAGCTACAAATATTTAGATACTACCATATTTAAGATAAAACAAAAAGCTTTTATAAAGATGTACAACTTGAATACATTTTGCATAGGCACGTGTAAATCCTCTGTATGCAATCCAAGTTGCTTAAGCTGAGACTTTCTGGAACCTTCTCAAAAAGCTATCTTTTTTGGGCCTGTATTAATGTTGCTTTACAGCAGTGGAGTTTGGGGCCCAATTTTTTTAAAAAAAATATGCATACTTCAAACTCTTTAATTACTTTCATGCTGCCTAGACAGAGGACGCCAGAGCATGACTTTTCCCAACAACAAACTCCAGCTTTTTGCTAAATTTACCTAAAAATAAATTTTAAAAGATATTTGTATTCAGTATAATTATTAAGAAAACCTACCCCTCCTTTTCAGGGGAAAAGGCACACACTATTCTTGGTGCGCTCCTTGCCCCAAATATTTGACGTTAGATGCCTGTTCTGCTTAAGAGCAGTGCAACCCCCAGGAGAATGCAAAGTCTGGCAGGCCTTCACAGCCAGTCAGCAAGGAACGTCCACTGAAGCTTTAGACCATGGGCAGGCAAAATATGGCCTGCGGGCTGGATTTGGCCCTCCAGGCACTTACATCCAGCCTGCGGCGGCCCCCCCCAGCAAATTGTGCCCTGTCTAGCCCTTCTGTCCCTGACAGTGGGAGCAAGGCACCTACACCTGCTTCCAACATATCCTATTATGCCTCACTCCCACCTCATGGGTAGAAGGGTCAGCCCCACTAGCACAGGCCGGGGCTGCTGCTGCAGGCTTCCCTGGAGTCCAGGTACCTCTGGGCAGCAGGTAGGGAAGCGGAAGTGTGGGCCGGGGCGCGGAGCATGGAGCATGGCTGCAGCGCAGAGCCCACACCCCTGGGCAGCAGTGGTGTGGAACTTGGATGGGCAGGGTGTGGATGGAGGGGGGGGGGGGGGGCCCCCCCCCCCCCCCACTCCAGTCCATGGCGCACACCCCTGGCAGGCAGCAGGAGCAACAGCAGCAGGGGAGGGTGCTGATTGGCACTGCTGCCTGGCTCTGGCCAGCGCTGCAAGGAGCGCAGCCCCCGCAGGCTGTTTGTATCCCCAGGGCTCCTGGCACTCGCAGGGCACAGGAAGGAAGCCCCAGGCACTGGAGCTGGCTGGGGTGGGGAGAGCAGCTGACTCCAGCACCTGGGGCTTCCTTCCTGTGCCCAGCGAGCGCAGGGAGTGCCAGGGAAGCAAATGGCCCGGCAGGGCCTGCGGTCTTTGCTGTGATGTGAAGCGTTGGCCAGAGCCAGGCACCAGCACCCCCACCTGCTCCTGCGCCATGGGGGGAGTGTGTGGAGGGGTCCCCCCACAACTGCCACACAACCCCCAACATACCCTACCCACCCACCATATACCCCTCCACCGTAAACAACCCCCCCCGCACCACATACCCCCCCCACAATATAAAATACTAAAAAAAAAAATATTTTTGCATTAGGCAATCACCTCTATATACAGTACACAAACACAACTCATGACAAAAATATTTTTTGAAATAAAATTAAAATATGTTATAGTAGGTGTTTGACTTCTAGTGTACAATTTGTTGTTTTCTGGTTCTAAGATGGCAACCCCTCTCACAAAAGGAGTATTTCCAGGGGGGCAAGGGGAGGGACTTGCGGTGGCAAAGGTCAGGGGTAAAGGGCGGGACTTATGGTCCCAAGATGGAGGGGCACCTGTCAAGGGGGTGGGACTACCCATGCGGCTCTCAACATCTCAAACCTCGTTCAATGACCCTCCACCCGAAAGAATTGCCCTTCCCTGATCAGACCTTTTCATTGCATGGATTCTCCAAGAGCCAAATATCTCCAGTTTGTTAAGCCAACCTCCATTGCACAAGCACTGCCTACTAAGAAGTAAAATTCCAAAAAATGTATCATGTCCAACGACAAAGAAATCAGACCTCTCCCCAGAACAAGACTCCAGGACCCAGCTGTTCTGAGTTGGTGCCAAACCTCATTTGGCTCCAACAAGGTTGGAAAATACCAGTGTCACCAGTGCTGATGTCTAGTTTCTAAGAACAAAGCAGGTTTTCCTAGAACTTTGTTCCATTTCCATCAGTTGTGGGCTGCTCGTTATATATCTATACATCTCTTCTTCTCTCTCACATCTATCCATGTGCATCTCTGCTAATGCAGGAAAATTCATAATTCATATTTAGAAAGTCAAGCCTTTTTCCATTGTGACACTATGCTGAATACAGGTTTATTACCTCTTTATTTAACTGAGAACTCTTCTGCCCATCCTTTAGCTCAGGGGTGGTTAATCTGTGCCCCAAACGGCACAGGAAGCTGCTGTGTTGCATGTGAGCGCCATTCCAGCACCCTAGGGCACCAACTCTATCGGCTATATCTCAGGATGGGGGCAGGGAATCAGTCTAGCACTAGAGGAGGGTCAGGGCTCACTTGTGGTATGCCAGCTATAAAGGTTGGCGACCACTGCGTTAGCTGCATTCCTAGCTAGTCTCACATGAGTGGGAATGTGCAGAATTCTTCAGAGAAGAAAACTTACACTTAAGTGTAAATGGTTCTTTAAAGGACAGCTTCTGCACATGGGTACTCCCTCTCATTACACAAAGATGTTACACATCTTTGGATGTCCTGGTTGTGAAGAAATACACTCCCGACTCTAGCTCTAAATCCCCATTCACTTTGTGCCCTACCAGTCTGTTTGTGCCAGCCCAATCAGTTTGGAAGACTGAAGGTGCTTTTGATTCACAGAAGTTTAGGGCTGGAAGGGACCTCACGAGATCATCGGGTCCAGTCCCCCTGCTCTGGGCAGGAAAGACTGCTGGGTTCAAATAACCCCAGAAAGGTCCAGTCTCATTCTGAAGATCTCTAGGTTAGGTGTCCGTGCCACCTCCGCTGGGAGTCTATTCCAGAGTCTGGTCTCATGAACCGTGAAGAAGTTTTTCCTTATATCCAGTCTGAAACCTTCTTCTAGGAGTTTATGACCGTTGTTCCTCGCTTTCCCCAGAGGCGCTTTGGTGAACAGTTGTTTGCCTAGTCCCTGCTGCTCTCTTTTGTTATATTTGTAAGCTGCCACCAAATCCCCCCGAAATCTTCTCTTTTCTAGGCTGAACAGTCTGATATCTGTCAGTCTTTCCTCGTATGGCTTGCTCTCCTGCCCTCTAATCCTATGAGTGGTTTGATCATGAGTGCAACAATGCAGAGACACCCCAAATTACTAGTAAACACTCTAACATAAATTAGCTCAATTAAAACAAATGTTATGCTCTCATCTTATTGATAAATGTGTACATGATCTAAAAGCAGGATTTTGTACCTTCTCCCCCCTGCTCTCCCTCCTCCTCCTGCCCCCACCATGGAAAGATACATTGCAACAGATATAAATGTAGATTTAGGTAAGTGCTATAAAAGACACAGAACTGAGTACTGACTATGAATGGTCAGGACATTTTTAACAAACATTTTTTCTCAGAAAGAACTGATTTGTCAACATCAAAACTTTTTATGGTAAAGATGTCAGAGATTTAAGTTCAACCCCCAGTGCACTGATTTAAATTATTTATATCAATTAAAACAGCTTCCACAGGAAGGAGAGCGAAAGAATGGCTATTTTGGGTTTACTTGTGGAAATCTCTGAGAGGTCTCCATTTTGTCCTGACAGAGAAAGGAAAATTTCTGAAATCACAAAACAGTTCTTCAGGACAAGCAAAACTCTCTCCTACCCAGCAATAACAATAACACTTTAACACCTCATCATGAACAGCAAAGGATATATTCAAATTTTTATCAATTCTCCAATAATGTACACACAGAGATGTAATGTTACTGGGCTGCCATTGGTTTAATGAACTCATGGCATTTTCATTTCTTAGGTGTCTAGTTGTATGCTAGAATTTAGGCCAACTTTCCTCATTAGAGATGATCCACCTGAAACTGGGAGATTGAAAAGGGAGAATGTTTTGCTACCTAGAAAACGGAATTTTCCCAGTAATCTCATCTTTAGATGCTGATTGTCTCGTATATCAAAGAGAATGTCATTTAAAAAAATATAAAAAGCAGACAACGATGCAAATTAAAGTGCTTTTGAAAAGATCTCCTTGGTAAGGGAAAGAAAGGAAAACTACACTGTTTAACTACAGTTTCCTCTTCTAAAAGGTCTGTTCCTGCAAGCCCTGTGTTTGGTATTCCCACTGGTTTAGCTATGAGCTCTCTCAAGCCCCCTCTGTATATAGATTCTAAGGGGAATTTTTCATGTATGTAAGAAATTATGTTTAGTCTCTTAGACCTAAAATTAAGTTACTGATTGCAAAATGCAAAAATTCTCTGAATTAGAAAATAAGCCACCATGTAAAATTTAATGCAAGATAAATATTTGCCATACTACATCATAACATTTGTGGGCCTGTTTAAGAGTCTCTTTCTTTCATTTTAGTCATTATTCACTTAGGGCCAGATTCAAAGCTCACTGGAGTCTATGAAAAGTCTCTCACTGACTTCAGTTGGGTCTGCGTATCTTGTCTTTAAGTTAAGCACTGGTTTAAGTAGAAGTCTGCCTTTGACTCCGAAGGGACCTAAATATTTTGGTTTTCCCAGTAACCTCTCCCCTGATCTCTCTTGTGCCCTCTCTCAGCTCCTCCCTAAATCTTAGTCTGTTTCTATCCTCAAACCAATAAATAAGCGTTAGCGTCCTCATCTTAGAAAACCCACACCTCACCTACAATGTCACCTTAAAAGAACTCACTTGCCCCTCCAACCACCTTCTCATCTCCCTTCCATCTCTACTCTCTTTAAAAGAGCTGTTTAAAATCATTGGTTGGAGCTCTCCCCTTCAGTTGTCACAGACTCTTTCCAATTTAGCTTCTGCACCTTGCACAGAAACTGCTCTCCTCAAAAATCTCCACTATTTTCTAGACAAAGCTCAGAATCAGTACCTTGTCCTTATCCCTTCTGACTTTCTAATTTGCCTTTGAACTCTTCTTCTTGAACTCATGTTCTCCCTTCACTACTGTGCCTCTGTCCTCCCTAGCATCTTCTTCTAGCTCTCTCAGGAGCCTTCTCATCCCTCTCCAGCTTTCTGTGGCAATTCCACAGGGCTCTGTCCTTGATCACTTTTTCTTCTTTTTATCTCATCTCTGGATAATCTCATTGACCAGCACAATTTCCACTATCATCACTACCCGGATGGCTCACAGCTCTCTCTCTCCACTCCAGGTCTGCATCCTTCAGTCCAAACCAGAATAACCATCTACTCACTCACTACTGATAAAGCAGATCTTTTAATTTTTCTTCCAAGGCATCCCTGCTACCCTTTTTCTCCACCACTGTGGACCACAAGACCATCCTGCCTGTCACTCAGCACCATAACCTAGGTATCATTTTTACTCAGATCTCTTTCTGTGTCCTCACGTCACAGTTGAAAAAGTGTTACTGATCCTTTCTTCACAACATTCCCAAGACATATCATTCTATATCTGTCCATGCAACTGTAACTTCTGCCCAGGCACTCATATCATTTCATTTATATTACCTTGCTTTCCCTTCCTCTTGACAAATGCAATTTTGCCTCCTCACATCCATTCAGGACAATGCTACACAGATTAGGTCTTGACCACGTCATGCCTTATATGCATCAAACACAAAATACTGGTCTTAATAGTCATGACCTTGCTGGCCTATCCGTACCCTCTTATTCATCTCTCATTCACCACTGAGGCCGACACCAACCTCAACAGGCCCACGAAGTCTGTCTTTGTCACCCACTTGTTAAATCTGTATATGAGTTACTCTGTGCTTTCTCTTAGGCTGGTCCTCATGTAGGGATTCTCCATAAGTATTCATAAAACTAACTTGTTATTTATTTTTTAAGCCTTTCTTAGAAGTTAAGATTTTTACTGTAGCGAAGCAGAGGAGAGTGCTGTCAGGTAATTGTGCAATTGCTTCACTGTACACTTCCTTATCTGTCTGTTCATATCTGTTACTGCTCCACCCCCTTTGATATAAGAGACAATCAGCATCTAAAGATGAGATTACTGGGAAAATTCCATTTTCTAGGTAGCAAAACATTTTTTTTAAACTTCATTTTAAGTTATTTGAGGCAAGTTCTTTTTGTTCTGTAGTTGTGCTAGGCTATGGGATCACAGTCTTCCTCTATGATATTACATTATCCAGTTGGGTATACTTTTTGATTAAGCACTTATTACTACTACTACTACTACTACTACATGTTTGTGGGAGGAAGTTACATCAAAAAAGGATATTAAACAGGAAGGGGCAGATCTGCAGAAAGCCTTGAAATGGGTGACCAGGAATTTAATGCAAGAAAAAATGGAGAACCAGCATAAAGCCGCAAAGAGAAGTAACAATATGATAAATTCAACAAATTTGCTGAGGATTTTATATGCTGAAACTCAATTAAGTAATTTTTTTAAATTAAGACTTATGAATGATACTAGGCAGACATATTTCAAATAATGTCAAATCAAATCTTTCCATTCTAAAGTGTCTGGGATATATTCAATATGTGTCATCTCGGGACTAACACACAGGACCTTGAAAGAAATAGATGAGAGAAGCATTAAAAAAATGAAAAATATACATTTTAAAAAGCCAGTATTTAAAATTTTACTTTCTTATCCTGTAATAGGAACGTGGCCTTTCAGTGCACATTAGATCTATTACTGAAACTGTGAATTACAGTTTGCTTATTATTCTTAGGGCTTTTCACTGCTATCCAACACTTAGGGACTCAGCACCTTCAACATCAAATCAAATTGGTAGCAATAAAGCAATCCCTAGACTTTGCTCTGTTTCACTTGCACACATTATAGAATATTTTTTTTTATTCCAGTAAAGACACTCAAGAACCCGATCCACCCAGTTGTTTTCTGCATAATTAGTTTTCACTCATATATCAGGTCCAGGTCACTTAGGCAGTATGGTTTGTGTGACTAACGACTCTTAAATATGTCTTCCAAGACCAAGCGCTATATTTATGCTTGTTCTCCATACATCTGAACATTTCCCCTGAATAGGTGAAAGAATAAATATAAGTGTGGGGGGAAGTACATTTTATAGAATCTTCACACTCATCAAAATGCTCCTTCCCCAGGCCTGGGGGTGAAAAGTGGGGTTGAGGGCTCCTTTTCAATGGACCAGGCAACAACACTTTGCCAGAGGGTAAGGTGGCAAAGTAGAGGTAATTTTCAATGCAAGCCACATTTTGATGTTGTTTGGGAAAAGTCCATCAGTGATTTTTTGGGGGAAAGGAAGTAGCTATCTGTTTTTTAGATAGCCTTTTAAATCTCCACTCCATCCTCTATGGTGAACACCAGGACAGCAACCTTGGAATATGGAAAAATGCAGGTAGAATGGGCAGAGATAGCAACAGGGAGCAGTTTGGTAATGGAAGTTCAGGTTTTGAAATACGGGATGCAAAACTGTTATGGAATAGAAAGAGTGGCACAGTATAAGGAAGAAGAGGAGACAATGGGAATGAGAAGCTAGGGATGTGTATGTACAAAGGGAAGATCTATAAAGGCATGAATTTGAGAGTCTTTACGAAGTTGCCTTCCCACCCAGTCATCCCTCCTGGTGGACTATACCAAAGAGCTTGTCACCTTCCGTGGCTGTTTAAACTCTAATTTGTTCCACATCTCAAATTCCTCACTGCACCCAGGAGGAAAGGCAGTCGCATGCAGGGTGAAGAAGGTTGAATTTTAGTTCCTTGAAGAGTTATTGGGCAAGAATACAAGCACCTATGACTATCTATCATCAGACTGAGGTATCAGAAAGAGGCTATACCTAAATAATCCAAAAAGGATCATTAGCAACAAGTTAGAGAGGTATCCACAAGCTCTCTCAATTCCCTTGAGACTTGAAGAAGGGTGGCTTAAGCCATGTGCTATTCCTTTCAAGGCTAGGAAGACAGATTACAACATTCCCTGTGTGCTGCTACTACACAGCTGTTCAAGGAACAAGCAAGGTTATATTCAAATCCAAGGAACTAAACACGTACTAAAAACTAAGCCTTTTTGATATAAAATCTCCCTCCAAATACTGAATTACTTACAGTCTGCACTGACATGAACAAATAGCAAAAGTCAAAACAGGCATGCTTACCTTTGTGAAAACAAATTTCTGGTTTTCAGGAATGTTTTGTATGTTGTCTTGACACAAGTGCATTGTCAAATAGTCTGTTCCTAACTCAACTGCAGCACAGGCTTCAGGCTGCCGGGTATTATAGCGTATTTCATTATGGGATGTGTATTCAAAAAACTGCAAACCCAAGAGAAGAAATAATGGACAACAATTTTACTTGTGAAGTACATAAACCAAAAAGCATTTTATTAGGACAAAGTACATGGTGAAAACAGGTTGCCACCTATCAATATACAAATTAAGTTCACTCAGAGTTGCTGCTGTAGAGAGAAATTCTGATGAGAGTTTGTGTTACAGAAGCCTTAACTGTTACCAATTGCCTAATTTTTAAGGAAAAAATCAGTCTTACAGTAGCATTATTAGCATATAATATTTGTTTCTAGCAGCATGCACAATATGCCAAGTGCTCTATAACTATGCAGGAAAATAGGGTTCCTTAAAGTGAAGAACTTAAAATCACATTAGATTGTAAAAATCATTGCATTTTAATCAAAGTCACACAGACTGTTGCTTTCATTTTAGAATGTATCTATTGAAAAGTACAAATGTTGAACCCAATCAAAACCATAAATCTAATTCAAATTTATAAAACATGCATCTCAATATATGAACTTCTACGATATTGTTCTCAGCAAAGTAGGTAAACTGCTTTTCAGTATGCTCAAGCCTTTAGTAAAAACAGTTTAATGGGTTGGCTTATCATACAATATTCTACAATGGAGTTTTGAGTGGGTTCTTGACCATCTCAGATTCTGTGCCAACTAACACTGAACACAGTGTAATGAGAATGACAGGGGGACCAGAAATCTGCCAGGATACCAGACCTTCCCTAGAATTACTGTGATATTTATCATGGATTTTTGCCCGACTCTGGAATTCATCAAGGAGGATAGAGAAAGTTTAAAGATTTATCTGTATCTATGATGTTTGTAAATCATTTTAGAAAACTAAAATGTATTCTTAAACCATTTTAGATTACATGTGGTAGATAGGGTAGGATGAGTTTTACTGACAACAAGAGAATAGAAACATTTGTCTACATTAACAGTAGTATAGTTGTCCCAGTGTTAAAACAACAGGTTGAATGTCAGCTCAGAACAAACAAAGAACTGTTTGTAACAACGGTTTTAAAAAGTAAGAGGGGGACTTTATGGAGGCAAATCTACCTGAAACAGAATTGCAAAGTGGATCCAAAAGTTAACATTTATGATATTTTCTGAAGTAGAAAAGGGCAAGGTATGTCATTCAAAGGTATGGAAAAAGTACTAAACTGAATGCTGAAGGACCACATTTTCTAGGTACCCATAAACTTCCAGAAATGCTACTGCACTTTGCAGTTATTAACTGGAGCTGGTTAGAAAAAGGAATTTTCATTTTGTGGGAAATTCTAACTTAAAAATATCAGGGTGAATCAGAACAAAAGTTTAAAATTTCTGCAGAATGAAAATTCCAAAATATGTTGATTTCAAATAATAAAATTATGGCATTTTCCTAAAAGGTCAAACAATAAATAAAATTTGTATTATAATGTTATCAAATATTCTAATATGCAAGCAGAACTAAAACTGATTCAAAAGATAGTAATTTTTTTGATGCTGCTGAACTAAGAAATTACAAAGTTTCAATTTCTTGTCAAATTAAGGTTTAGATTTTGACAAAACTAGACATTCCAAATAGAAAAGTGTTCCACAATTTTTTTAAAGATCTGACAACAGGATACAGCACACTTTTACCATAAATTTAAGATAGCTGCACATTATTTCAATTATATGACTAACAGAGAGACTAAATAGCTGTAATTGTTAATTTATGGTAAGCACATTGCATTCCCCATTGCATTTCCATACAAAAAGAGCCAAATTATATTTTCTGTTTTGTCAGGAACATCTTGTTTTGTTAGGCATATCTACCTCATTGAGGCCTGTGCTAAGCTTTGTAGCAAAGAAAGGAGCTAGGTTCTATCCATTTCAGAGGAAGCTTGACAGCCAAGGAGAGGGTTGTGCAAGAGGCTGTGCATTATAATAGACAACACATTAGCATGTAACATAGCATTAGTGGGAGCTACAGTGAAAGACAAAACTTACCTGGTTTTGTCCCATTCCATGACATGGGTACAATATGATTCTGTGCCCCGTAACTTCATGGTCATTTGGAGGGTTGTAATCAAAACAATGATTTGCCATTCCTCTATTCTTCAGCTAAGTATGACAAAAAAGATTTTTTAATCCATCGGTGTCAAATACAGTAGATACGCCTGTGTTGCTTCATATCCTTCAGCAGGCCTAAGGGGGAAGGAAGAAGCATCCTGTCCTGAGCTGGCTTTACTAAATCAGTGGCCAGCAGCAGAGCCCTGACTAATTTTACTGAACCACAACCTCACTCCTGGTATTGACTTCAGCAGACTGGATTGGGACTAACTTCACTGGGCAGGTCCAGCCCGGACAGACAAGGATAGCAGGCATTTACTTGGATTGCCAGTATCCAGATGGATTCACAAGTGAGATTTAGCGGGGTGCATCTGAACAAGAATTTGGGCCCACAGCCAACTTAGTCATTAGCACAATCAAGTAAGAGAATTTGCCACATCAGTCATACATTTTTTTCTGAATTTGTTCATTTCGCTATCTGAAAATTAAAATAGGTGTTTATTGAATTCTCCAAGCAAAAAGCACATTCTTCATACTCTTAAAGATTTTAATGTGCCTCAAGAATGGGGAAGAACCACTCAATGGGAGCCATAATTCAGGTTTCAGTTCTTAAAACCTTCAAGCGGACAAGATTTTAGACTGTAACTCAAAACAGACTTTTTTATCACAAGAACCCTAACACCTCATATTGAACTTGGTCCTTTTTAATGTTATGAAACTGGACATCACAGTTACAATATAAGATTGAACAATATAATATTTACTTGATTCTAAGATGAGGTTCCCCCCTCCCATTTAACGAGGGGAAGGCAGCTCCTCATCTGAGAACTGAGTACAAGGGTGGAGGGAGGCAGGTGGCTGCTAGGGCTTGGGCTCCAGCCTCTACCTGGGTCATGGCCACAGTTGCAGCTGCCCCTCCTCCCCATCCCTCCCCACTCCCCATGCACCTGCTGCTCCTCAGCCTGCCCCCCTCTCTCTTCCCTTACTCTTGCTCTGCACTGGCAGGCTCTGGGCATGCTGCAGCCTGAAGCACAGCCCCAGTCCAGCTGTGTAGCAGTAGTGCACAGCTGGCATGGCTGCTTTGGGGGCTGAGCTGTATAGAACAGGGATGGAGCCTGCCAATACAGAGCAAGCAGGAGGAGGAGGGAGCAGAGCCTGGGAGAGCAAGGGGGTAGCACAGCCTAGGGGACGAGTGACAGGACATGGAGCAGAGGCAGAGTGGGAAATGGGGGGGCCACAGCTACAGGGGGACAGGCAGGGGGCAAGCTGCTTGACCTCACCATACCACCTGACCCCTCACTGCCTGTCCCCACGCAGCCAAAAGGGGTGATGAATTAAAGAGTTAATAATAATCAGATTCTATACATGGAAAATTATAACAAATTTATAAATGTTCTATATATATAGAATCTAACTGGGGGGGCATCTTAAATTCAGGTCCATCTTACAATTGAGTAACTACAATATTTTTTAAAAACTGAAAACAAACCACTAAGATCAATCAATAAACGCTTGCAATTTTTTAATTAGTCAAGATAAAACTGGACTTGGAAATATATACTGAGGCAGGAAGTCATGATCATTTAAGTGTTACAAGTGTTTTGCAAGGTGCTTCCTCAGCCTGACGAAGGGTATTTGTGCTCGAAATGTTGCTAAGAAGAATTTTTCGAACTATTTGAGTTGGTCTAATAAAAGATATCAGATTTACCCAAAGAACCTTGTCTTGCATAGCCCTAACCATTCAAAAATGTAAATTTACATGAAACTAAACAAGGTCTATAAACAAACAAAAGCTTAATGCCTACATTACGTGGATATTACCATGTCCCATATTTAAAAAGAAGCAATGATTTTGTAAGGTGATATCATTTATTAGACCCACTGTACATTTGGAATAGAGCATGACAAGCTTTTGAATGCAAGTCATTCTTCTTTGGGTCATAATATTAAAGATATCGAAATCCGTTGCATACGATGGAAAATACTATCGTAATATATTTTAAAATATTTACTTTTGGTTATCCTTCACTTTTCTGTCAGGTCAGGTCTCTCTTGGTCTGCTATATGGTACCATGTAAATCTTCTCAGCCTGTTCCATGGTTGAGTTAGTGGAAACTAAACCAGCACCCCCACCTGGGCTTGCCTGGGTCAGGAGGGTTTGTGGACACCCAGCAGAACTAAAAGCAAGACAAGTCAAAGGGAGGATGAGCTCACTGTGAGCCAATGGCCATCCATACTGGGAGAGGAGATGGGCCCATCAGGTCACTCTGCCCGAAGAATCACCAATGATGCAAAGCAACTCAACTAACCTAGGAGGGTTGTTATAGCATCTAAGATGCCCCAATGGTCCCGGAGGTCTTGGTACCGACTTGACTTGATCCTTCACTTGCAACAAAATATTTGTAGCCTTATATATGGCTCAAACCCTTCTCCAGAAATGCTTGTTATCTGTTTTCATAAGTGCATTAACACAGTTAATGAAGTTAAGAAAAACCAAACCAAACAAACAAACAAACAAAGTGATTTTTTTATTTCTGTTTCCTATTTGATCAGGTGTCACCCTCACGTTATATTTAAGAGAGATCTGCTTGGTGTGAAGGCAGTTACATTGGACTAATTTCACCCCTTCTACAAATTATTGTAGTTCAATCAAAGATAAAATAGAAAATTCCATTTATAACACTGGGAAACAACTATACAAAAAACATAGGGAAGTAAAGGTAAGCAAGCTTGAAATGCCATGGACATACAAAAAAGAATGAACATTTCTGCACAATTTTCATACCCTACATAAGCGATTATCAAATTAAAGTTGTTCGGACTTATAAAAGTTAATCACACCTCTGAAATAATACACTGCTAAATCCTACTTTTAGTTTTGTCTTCAGAACTGAAGGCACTATTCATTATCATGTTTAGCATTCAAATTGTGTTGCCAGGCATTGAATCTAATCTAAGTGGAAGAGATCAACTTAGTCAGGTACTCGTCCCTGCCATCACTCACTCAGACAGCCTGAGGTCTTCACTTCCATTCCAAGCGAAGAAATCCCTAAGGGCATGTTGATGTGGCCACCTTCCCAGACTTGGGACTGACATTGAAAAAAGAGTCACACCCCCTCACTCTTACTTGAGTTCATCAGAGACCATCAATAAGACAAATGGACTTCCAGTGGTAGTGCTCAAGCTTGTGCATGGGCAGCTGCTCCAGAGCTCTCTGATCTGCCTAATTGCTGATCTCTGGTATGCCAAAGCAGGAGTGGACAGGGCATATTTTGTTGGCAACCATCTCAGCATTAAGTGACAGTCCCCCAAGAATCCCTTAAGACACTTGATATGTGTAATATCTATTCTCTACACATGCTCCATGAAACATCACAATGACTGTCTTCTCATCTAAGTTAACATGTGCATTCGAACCCTTCAGACTTCTAGGTGCCACATTATGTTGTATCTGTATGAAATTGCAAATTGGAACTTAATATTTTACAAGGAACTAGATTCATGTTTTAACTTTAAAGATCTGAGTTAACATATTATCCTACCCAGGGTGTATGAAGAAATTCCTTAAAATAAACAAATGTTTATGAACCTGTGAACAACGAGACGTGAAATAAAGGCACCCTTCTGAATGTGGGTTCTCTGAACAGCATAATTTTAAATAACCTTTTATCTTAGAAGAGAGGCAAGAATTTCTTACGATGATATCTTTTATTGGACCAGTTGTACAGCTGGGATAGAGTTAGACAAGCTTTTGAATACAAGACATTCTTTTTTCATTTTAAAGTAACAATAACACCACTGCTACATACACACATAAGACTGTATGCATTTGTATGCTATACAATATTAACTGAAAGGGCTGGGCCAGATGGTCCTCAAGATTTCTTCCAACCCTATGATTCTACTCAAACTTCAGTTCAGATTAATATGTTACTGCGTCTGTCCTCATGATGCCATCACAAAACATTCTCTGATGTATGCGTCCCGTGCACAGGTACCTCTACTGTGCAGACATACTTCTAAATGTGTAGAGCCAATATTTCAGTCTGGCTCTAAGTTGGCCTCTTATTTTGTGAATTTGGACATGAACCAATTTCACTTGATATCCCCAATTTAGGCCTTTTGAAGGTTAAAGAACCCGATTCTTGGATGCAAAAGGGGACCAATCATCTTGAACAACTGATCTGTACCTGCATCTTACATTGCAGACAAAATGAACCATGTGAAAATCTTGTCCAGAGATCACTCATGCATAAAATTACCAGTGCCCTGTCCAAAACTGGAACAGATGTGAGAAGGGTTGTGAAAACCCCATCTCCTTGCATTAAACTGACATGAGACAAATTTGCTTAGCTCAAGTTCTCTTTGGCTGACAAAAGCAATGTCATAACATTCACTGAGTTAATATCTTAGGACCAGATCCAAAAAGATACTGAGGGCCCCAAATTCTTTTTTTGATCTGACACTTATTTTTTCCCCAAAATATATAATAAAAAGTTAAATCATGCAAAACAAACAGTTTAACAGACACTGAGGACAAAATTTTAATTGCTTTTCGACTTACCTTAACATTTTAGTAGAATGCTGCATTAGAAAAATAAGAACAAGAAAATGTTTGTTCTACTCATGAAAAATTTAGTGCAAACCACAAAAAATACCCATAATTCTGTCCATGCAGAATTTCTCACTGTTTCTTTCTCTACATAAACTTTTGTCTCTCTTGCTGCAAATTTGCTAATAACAATTAGTCACCATTCTTTTGAAGGCTGGCACCAGTGATAAACTACAATTGTTGCAATGTCCAGAAATATTCAAGACCATTTCAAACCAGAAGGACAATTAGGGTGGGATTTTCAAAAACTGTTCATCATTGGCTCACTGACACCAATGACATCAGAGTTGGACAATCAACAATTAGTGCTTTTGAAAATCCCCCTTCTAAATAATGACAGGCTTGCCTGGGCTATTATAAATGATTTTGCTGTCACCTTCAGCCATTTGAGATTTGACTTGGGCTGAGCATTTCAAAGCAGACATCTAAGTTTGTTCCT